TTTTTTTTTTAATAGAGGCATGCTTTATTTATTTGTTTGCTGGTTTGTTTGTTTGTTTTGTTTATACATGCACTGGGTACAGTCAGAAGCGCGGGAGGGTGAGAGAATTCACCAGAGCCAGAGCGGGGAGCAGAGCAGGCAGAAGGGCCGAAGTACACTGCTGAGGGGAGCAGCGGGCGGCAGGAGAGGTCTGCACGCCATGTGGGACCCTCCTCCAGTGGCTGGGGAGCAGCCGGGGATCGAACCGGCGCCGCAGAGGCCGCGCGCAGCCTCGCAACCCAGCGCTCAACCGCTGCGCCACCGGGGAGGCCCGGGTTGTTTGTTTTTTGTGGGACCCTCGCTGGCGGCTGGGGATCGAACCAGCGCTGCAGAGGCTGCGGGCAGGCTCGCAGCCCAGGGCTCAACCACTGCGCCACTACAGGAGGCCCTCTAGTTTTAGTTTTTTAAGAAATTTCCACACCATTTTCCACAGGGGCTGCACCAATTTACATTCCCACCCACAATGAATGAATGTCCCTTCATTTCCATAACTTCACCAACAGTTGTAGTTGCCATTCTTTTCGATATACGATATGGGCCATTCTCACAGGGTTGAGATAATATTTCATTGTGGTTTTAATTTGCATTTCCTTATAATAAGTGATGTTCAGAATTTGTAAACAGTATTTAGAGTAACTTTCAAAATCACATGGGGTAAATTTTGTATCCTGCAACTTTACTGAATTTTCTCTCCTTATAGAATCCTCGTCAGATTTTGCTATTAGCATAACTTTGGCTTCATAATATTATTTTTGGAAGTATTACCATCTCTTCTGTTCTTGAAAGAGTTTTGAAAAGAATTTTTATTAATTCACTAAATGTTTGCTACTCCACCAGGAAAGATATCTGGCCCTAGACTTACATCTTTTGAAAGGATTTTGAATATTTATTTAGTCTCCTTCTTAGTAATAGGTCTGTTCAGATTTTCTATTTCTTCATGATTCAGTCTTGGTAGGTGTGCATTTCTAGGAATTTATCTCTTTCTTCTACATTGTCAATGTATCGATATATAGTTGTTCATAGTGGTGTTTCCTTATATTTCTGTGGTATCAGCTATAATTTCTCTTCTTTTAGTTCTAATTTTACTTATTTGAACTCTTTCTTGGTGAGTCTAGCTAAAAGTTTGTAAATTATTTATCTTTTAAAAAAACCTTTGTTTAATCAGTTTTATTTTCTTTTTAATTTCAATTTGCTTTCACTCAGATCTTTGTTGTTTCCTAACTCCTACCCACTTTGAACTTAGTTTGAGCTTCTGATTTGAGATCTTTCTTTTTTCCTAAAGTAGGCATTTTATCACTACAAATGGCCCTCATAGAACTACGTTAGTCACATCCTACAAGTTTTGGTAGATGTCTATTTCCATTTTCATTTGTCTCAAGATATATTTTTTATTTCTCTTTTGATCTATTCTTTGACCCACTGGTTAGTCAATACATGTTGTTTAATTTACATATATTGGGCCTCCCTTGTGGCGCAGCGGTTGAGCGCTGGGTTGCGAAGCTGCTCGCAACCTCTGCAGCGCTGGTTAGATCCTAGGCTGCTCCCCGGCCACTGGAGGGGGGGTCCCGCATGGCGCGCACACCTCTCCTGCCGCCCGCTGCTCCCCTCAGCAGTGTACTTTGGTCCTTCTGCCTGCTCTGCTCCCCGCTCTGGCTCTGGTGAATTCTCTCACCCTCCCGCGCTTCTGACTGTACCCAGTGCATGTATAAACAAAACAAACAAATAACTAAATAAATAAATAAAATCTTTAAAAAAAATAATTTACATATATTACGAATCTTGCAGTTTTCATTAAGAATTGATTTTTAGAGTCACAACATTGCGGTTAGAAAAGATACTTGATGTAATTTGAATCTTCTTGACTTTATTAAGACTTTTTTCATGGTTTAACACATGGTTTGTCCTGGATAACATTCCTTGTGCACTTTGTTGTTTTTTTTTTTTTTAAGATTTATTTTATTTATTTATACAAGCACTGGGTACAGTCAGAAGCGCCGGAGGGTGAGAGAATTCACCAGAGCCAGAGCCGAGAGCAGAGCAGTAGACTGACAAAGTACACTGCTGAGGGGAGCAGCGGGCAGCAGGAGAGGTCTTTGCGCCATGCGGGACCCTTGCCCGGCAGCTGGGGATCGAACCAGTGCTGCAGAGGCTGCGGGCAGCTTCGCAGCCTAGTGCTCAACTCCTGCACCATCGGGGAGGCCCTAGATCTTATTCTTTACACATTCATTCTCTCTGTGTTTTTGGATTGAAGAATTTTATTTATTTTCATATAAAGTAATTATTGGTAGTTATGGACTGACCATTGTCATTTTGTTTATTGTATTCTGGTTATTTTGTAATTCCTTTGCTCTGTTCTACTTCTCTTGTTCACATGCTTTGTGATTTGATGATTTTTTGTAGTGGCATGCTTAGATTCCTGTTTCCTTATCATTTATAAATTTACTGGGGTTTTGTTGTTGTTCGTTTTGTAACATTTTTTAAACTGATTAAAAACTTTAGTTCTAGTGCATACTAAAGATCAACCATTTTTATTCCTTCAACATATTTAATATTTTTGATGTTGAAATTTATATTTTCATCTTATGTATCTACTAACAAACTGGTGTAAGTATAGTCTTTTTTTTTTTTTTTAAGTTTTGTCTTTAACCTTTATACTGGATTTGCAAGCAATTTATCCATCAAAACCTCCTGGACACTGGTGGTTTTGGATTAATATTTCTTATTATCTGGTCTCAGAACTCCCAGTCTAAAATATTTTGCTCAAAATCTTACTTCTAGGAGACATCAAGAATCTAATACCAATCCAATGGGTTTTAAGGGGAAGGCTTAGGAAAAATCAGGAGACCTGAATTTCAATTTTCTTTTCTTTTTTTTTATAGAGGCATGTTTTATTTATTTATTTGTTTGTTTGTTTGTTTGTTTATACATGCACTGGGTACAGTCAGAAGTGCGGGAGGGTGAGAGAATTCACCAGAGTCAGAGCGGGGAACAGAGCAGGCAGAAGAACCGACGTACACTGCTGAGGGGAGCAGCGGGCAGCAGGAGAGGTCTGCGCACCATGTGGGACCCTCCTCTGGTGGCTGGGGAGCAGCCGGGGATCGAACCGGCGCCGCAGAGGCCGCGGGCAGCTTCGCAACCCAGCGCTCAACCGCTGCACCACCAGGGAGGCCCCTGAATTTCAATTTTCAATCACTTTTATAATAATAAAGTCACATGCATAGTTGATTTTCTTACTAAATTGTTCAGTGTTACTCTAAATGTATTAGGTTGGCCAGCTTAGCATTGCTGAGCAAACACTTAGCAAACACAGTGTTTCTAAGATGTCCAGTGGGAGCTAGCTCATAGGTTTAGTAACATTGAATGACCTCTTCTACTTGCCCTACACTTTTTGAGTAATCAACATCTTCTGAACTTATATATGACAGGTTTGGAATATGTTGCGCCTTGAAGGGATGAAATTTATATCAATAAGTACTTAAAGGTTTAGTTTTATAAGATTCTTCTGGCTTACTGATTTACCAAAGCCTACATCCTCTCCTTTGTCACATCCACTCCAATCTTGCAAAAACACAAAGAGATAGTCACCAAACTCATGAAAGCGCTTCCCATTTCTCTTTTTCTCCTTTTTAATATAATATTGGTAAGAATAGATGATGCCATTTTTGGATGAATGTTCTTCCATGTCAATTTGTGGCAAATAAGTTGGCAATATATTATTTCAGTCATAACTTTTTTTTTAAATTGTACTACTCTGTGAAATCCAAAATTATGGATAACACTGGATTTAATGATTTTTGGAATTTTTTCCCAATCTTATGATGCCAATAAACTACTGGTAAAAAGAAGGAACACAAACTCAGTAAAACATATCCCAAACCCCAAGCAAATATAGATGTGAGAATAAACTTTTAGATCTTATGTAATTTATTTCATTAAAAAGGGCAAATGACAGCCCTTGGCATCTTCCAACTCAAAACACACACCTGTCAATGTTTATTTGTTTCTCAAAACCAATTCATTGCCTCTGGGGATCTAGTCTATGTCTGGAAGACTGCTTAAAATAATTGAAGATGAAGGGACAAGGATTAAATCATGTAGCATGGTAGCAAATATCCCTGGGCTTTCATGTCTAACATGGCTCCTTCTAACCAGACTCTAAGCTTCCGGGAGCAGAGAAGGCCAGGATAACCTTTACTTTACTTAGTATCCCTAAAAAAAAATAAGTGACACAAAGAGATAACCCTTTAAAAGGTCACTGAATGATTCAATGAAACTTACCAGAATGTGTGCATATAGAGAACTGAGTTAATAATTGTGTAGGACAAGAGAGACCAAATTTCCTTGTGTCAGCCTCTCTCTTCCTATTCCCCCCACCTCACCTTCTGCACATTCACTCACATAGTGCAAGCGACCTGTTTTGTAAGTTCTTGAACAGACCCTACCTATAGGAAAATGAATCAAAGGGGCAGAGTAAAGAACCTCCTCTTCTGTTTGAGAAAAACTGTGTGTAATAGTCAGGGCTCTCCAGAGAAACAGTAGGAAGCTTATAGAGAACCCAGGAAAGTCAATGACGAAGTTCTAGTCTGAATCAGAAGGCCTGAGAATGAAGAGGTTGTTGGTTTAAAATCCAGTCTCACAAGAAAAGGACCAGTCTCCCAGCTCAAGCAACCAGGCAAGAGAGAAAATTCATCTTTCGTCTGCCTTTTGTTCTACTCAAGCTCTCAATAAGTGGGATGAGGCCTATCATTTACTGAGGGAGATCTACATTATTCAGTCCATGCATTCAAATGCTAATACCTTTTGGAAACATCCTGAGACTTATGTACAGAACAAATGTTTAACTATATATCTGGGAATCACATGGCCCAGTCAGTCTGACATTCAAAATAACCTGTAATTGCATCATTGCTGCAATGCTTGGCAAGTACACATCACAGTGACCATGTTTATTTTCTCCACAGTGAGGACAACAAGAGTTCTCTGGAGAAAGTCCTCTCACAACTGAAATGCCATTTCACATGGAACTTATTTAAAGAAAATGGTGTCCCAGATGATCTGGAAAGTCGAGTGCTTGACCAGATTAGCACCTTAAATATTGAGTTCAAAGCCACAATGTGCAACCTGTTGGCCTACATAAAACACTGCAAGGGCCAAAACGAGGCAGCCCTGGAATGCCTACAGCAAGCTGAAAAGTTCATCCAGCAGGAGCACACTAACCAAGCAGAAATCAGAAGTCTAGTCACCTGGGGAAACTATGCCTGGGTCTACTATCACCTGGGAAGACTCTCAGAAGCTCAGACTTACATAGACAAGGTGAAACAAGTATGTAAGAAGTTTTCAAATCCTTATAGTATTGAGTGTCCTGAGCTTGAATGTGAGGAAGGGTGGACATGGTTAAAGTGCAGAGAAAACCAAAATGAAAGAGCAAAGGTCTGTTTTGAGAAGGCACTAGAAAAGAATCCCAACAACCCAGAATTCTCGTCTGGTCTAGCAATCTCTATATACCGTCTGGATACGAAACCACAAAAGTACTTTTCTGTCGATGTTCTGAAGCAGGCCATTGAGCTGAGTCCTGATAATCAGTATATTAAAGTTCTCTTAGCCCTGAAACTGCTGCAAATGAATGAAGAATCTGAAGGGGAACAGTTGGTTGAAAAAGCCTTGGAGAAAGCTCCTTGCCAAACAGATGTCCTTCGTAAGGCAGCCAAATATTACAAAATAAAAGGCAATCTAGACAAAGCTATTGAACTCTTTCTGAAGGCAATAGAATTCACACCAAATAATGGCTATCTGTATTACCAGATTGCATGCTGCTACACGGCAAAAGTCAAACAAGTTCAAGATACAGGAGAATCTGGAGTCAATGGGAATAGAGAGAAGATTGAAGAACTGAGGGAATATGCTAAAGCCTATTTGAATAAAGCTATTGAGAAGGGACTAAGTCCTCTGTATTCATTTTCTGATCTCACTGAGCTCCTAGAAACAGAAGAACATTATCAGACAGCTTTCAGTAAAGATGTCCCCAGCACAGAGAAACAACTCCGCGAGAGCTATTGCAACTTTCAGGAGAATCATGGGGAGTCTGAAGACACTGCTGTCCGAAGAGATTTAGTGAGTTTGCCCACAAGCAAAAAGCCATTTGAAAAGGAAAATAGGAAATACCAACAACAGAATATAGATGAAAGTCAAGTTCCACAAAATGCACCAAATTATTGGTATCATCAAGGATTAATTCACAAGATGAGTGGAGATCTGCTGCAAGCAGCCAAATGTTACGAGAAGGAACTGGGACGCCTGCTAAAGAATAGCCCTTCAGGCATAGACAGCTTGTTCCTGCAAACATAGCTTCTTCTGAGCTTGAAGAAGGCAGTGAGGAACTGGGTCCAAACACAGAGAGCTCCCTGACTCCTAAGCTGAAAAACATAGGCAGGAGAGGAACAGAGTATCCAAGAAACGTGGAATGATGACCATAAGGGCGGGATGGGAAGGCGGGAGTTATCCAGTCTGAGTTTGCCTTTTGCTTTAATGTACTTTTTTTTTTAGAAAGCTGTTTTCTTGCGTTCCTCTCCCTGTCCACACTCACCACACACAGTTCTCTAGTCTGTAGTTCTTCTAACAACTCGAGGAAACAGTGCTCTGAGCCTAGTTGACACTGCTCAGTTTTCATTTTTCACTTAGTTCCCCAGATACTCCCATTTCTGTCCTTTTTGCCAAGTGACATAACTGGTGACTTTACCAACAGAATCTCACATCCCTCATGCATTACTCTCTAGACCTTAAGACCTCCTGAAGGAATGAATAGCTATTGACTAACCCTGGAATATTCCTTATGTCTTGCTCTTGACATTAGCCATGTATTGATATGTATTCCTGATAGTGATACTGTGCTTTAACAATAATAATGTTACAATAAATTTTAAAATTGAAACTCAGGAGAAAGGTAATTGTGTGGTTTGCATGTGTGACTAAGAGTAATTTTTATTCCCCAAACTTCTTTTTCAAGGGACAGTGGGTGATCACTACACCAATTCACATTCACCTTAGCTCCTTGGAGCTAATACTCTCACTCCATAGCCAACCCATCTATAACTCCAAGGCTTAGCCAAAGAAATGGGAGCCTCAAGCTTCCAAGAATTGAGTGTCCTACATTCCGGCACTTCTGCTTCTTTTATAATGAAGAACTGTGGTCCCAAAAACTGCCGGTATTTACAGAGATGGCAGAATCTCACTAAGACAACCAACCATAATGTAATCATTAATGGATGGGACAGGACATATGGGCAAATTGAGTGCCCCCTAAACACATTTCTTTTGTGGCTCCCCCCTCTCAGTTCTTGGTAGCTCTGCCTTTCCCATTGCTCTGTAGTCTCCCAACACCTTCCTCTCATACTCCATGTGCTGTTTGCTGGAAAGTCTGGTTGATTCTGCCTTCAACCCATGTCGTATCTATGAACTATGGAAACTATGACTCTTATTCAGCCCACGTGTCTCACTTGAGTGCAATGCCCAGTTAGCAACTGCTACTGGTCTCTAGATTTTCTGTACAGCCAGGAAGACATGGACAATTGCCTCCCTAACAGAGCATAAGGGGCACCAGTACTAGGCTGCTTGTAGGGTCAAAGATCTTCACTCTCTATGATACATGAAAATATTTTTTTTTAAAGATTTATTTTATTTATTTATGCATACAAGAACTGGAGTGTAGGCCAGAGGTGTGGGAGGGGGTGAGAGGATTCACCAGAGACAGAGTGGGGAGCAGAACAGGCAGACGTTGAAATACACAGCTAAGGGGAGCAGCTGGCAAGACAGGAGAGATCTGCTATGCCATGTAGGTCCCTGGCTGGGGATCGAACTCGTGCTGCAGGGCTGACAATAGCTTGATATTGTTGAGACTTAACTCCTTGTATCACCAGGGAGGCCCTAAATGAAAATATTTTTTTTTTAAATATTTATTTTTATTTATTTATACAAGCACTGGGTACAGTCAGAAGCGCGGGAGGGTGAGAGAATTCACCAGAGCCAGAGCGGGGAGCAGAACAGGCAGAAGGACCGAAGTACACTGCTGAGGGGAGCAGCGGGCGGCAGGAGAGGTCTGCGCGCCATGTGGGACCCTCTTCTGGTGGCCGGGGAACAGCCAGGGATCGAACCGGCGCTGCAGAGGCTGCGGGCAGCTTCGCAACCCAGCGCTCAACCGCTGCACCACTAGGGAGGCCCCCTAAATGAAAATATTTAAGTATTCTCCTCCCAGCTGGGAAATCCACATGGATTGGGGAAAGAGGCTCCTTCTCTAACAAAGGGGCATAAAATAAAGATTACAGCAGCACCTAATGATTACATTAGTGTCCCCCTAAGCCAAAAGAAAAAAAAAAGCCACCAGAAACACTCTTCCAGGTTTGTAGGTTACAGTTTCACTGGCCAATGCCAGGAAGGGAATGACTTCTGACTGGCATGTCAGAGCTGGTCCTATCCCTAGACATCCAAATAAAATAAGATTCATTTCTTGAAGTCAAAATTCTCCATTGGAAATGTTTTGCTGTTTTTATTTTGAAATTATTACCATCCCATCACACTTAGGTGCATCTCAGCCTTTTTTTGTTCACATTGCTCATTTGTCCTTCCAGATGAGATTTCTCTCCTTCTCCTTCTTGTGGAATTTCATGGGGAACATTTCTGGTAGAAACTGTGTGTCCATATGTTACATTTGTTTCAGCATATCCAGACAGGATCTGCTTCAAAAGAATTTAATTATTATTCATTAATTATTATTCATTAATGTATAAAATTTTACACTGCATATATGTACACATATACCCACAGATACGCATAAAGATATTTGGAGTAACTGTCAAAAACACATAGAAGAATTACTGAGGAAACCTTGCTAAATGGAGTACCTGTTTTTAAAAAGACAATTTTTTTTACTCAATCAAGATTATCTCAAATTTATTTTTTTTTAGATTTATTTATTTATTTATACATGCACTGGGTACAGTCAGAAGCGCGGGAGGGTGAGAGAATTCACCAGAGCCAGAGCAGGGAGCAGAGCAGGCAGAAGGACCGAAGTACACTGCTGAGGGGAGCAGCGGGCGGCAGGAGAGGTCTGCGCGCCATGTGGGACCCTCCTCCGGTGGCCGGGGAGCAGCCGGGGATTGAACCGGTGCCGCAGAGGCTGCGGGCAGCTTCACAACCCAGCGCTCAACTGCTGCGCCACCAGGGAGGCCCCAAGATTATCTCAAATTTTCTTATGTATTCAGTTAAATATGTCAACATTATTTTAAGTATGTCAATTACATATGAATTCATCAATGTGCCAATTAACACGTAAAAAATGTAATGAAAATCTGAAGGGGAAAAAAATCAGTATTTCATGGCCCTAAACTGTATAAAAGAAAAAATGATACACACTACAAAGATAATTCATTTTTAAAGTTTCAATTTTAAAAGGCGGAGGGGGCCCAATAGGCTATAGGTACTTTAGTGGTGGGAATTCTGTAGTAACATACATTTGAAGAGGTATAAACCTATATTCCTAAACATATACAGTGCTGTAAACTGTTACCTCAATAAAACATGATAATAAAGTAAAATAAATGTACATACATATAGTTATATGCATGTACACATATAGTAGGAACTTCAAAATATATCCAGCAAGAAAAAATTCACTTTTCACTTACACAAATGTTTTCATTTTCATAACACAAATTTATATACTGCATTTGAACACTGCAAATTATATTTTAAAATAACATTTCAGGATAGTGGAGAAAAAAATTCAGATTTATTAAGAAATAGTTGACATGTAGAATCATAAGATGATTGCAAATTAAAGTGTATACACACACACACACACACACACACACATTATGAAAGGATGTCCCCAACTAGTCTTTAACACATCCATCACCCCATGTGTGTACCCTTTCGTTCTTATTGTTGTTGTTAAGAACTTCTAATCTAATAGCAAATTTCAGTTATATAACAGAGCATTATCAACTGTCATCAGTCACCATGTTTTACATTAGATCCTCAGAACTTATTCATCGTATATCTGAAAATGTGTACCCTTTTGCCAACCTCTCCCGATTTTTCCTGCTCCTTATCCCCTGCCAACCATCACTCTTACTATTTCTATGAGTTTAACTTAAGTCTTTTTAGATTCCACATTTAAGCGATAGCATGTAAATTTGTCTTTCTCTGACTTATTTCCTTTAGCCTAATACCCTCAATACTCATTCAGGTTGTTCCAAATGGCAGTATGTCCTTCTTTCTCATAGCTGAATACTATTCCTTTGTGTATAATAACCACATTTTCTTTAGCCATTTCATCCACCAATGGACACTTTTGTTGTTTTCATAGCTTGGATTTTATGAGTAATGTTGCAACAGACATGGGAATGCAGGTATCCTCTTTTATTTCCTACAGATATGTAGCCAGAAGCTGCAATGTTGGGTCAAATGGCAATTCCATTTTTTAATTTTTGGAGAAACTTCCATAGTGTTTTCCATAGTGGCTGCACCAATTTACATTTCCACCAACAGTGCACACAGGTTCCCATTTCCACAGACTCATCAACCCTTGCCATCTCTTTTTTTTTATATATCAGCCATACTAACAAGGGAGGTGATAACTCACTATAGTTTTGATTTGCATTTCTCTGATGAACAGTGGTGTGTGTTCCTGGTGGTCTTTGGTTGAAAGAAATTGATGGTGAAGGGCTCATCTCTACTGTCACCACTTCTCCATCCATCACCAATTACAGACCAACTAGAGATCCAAGAAAGACTGGGCACTCTTCCATCATCAGAAAAAAAAAAAAACCTGAAATAGTGAAAGGAATATCTAATCTGTGTGGGTATTTCAGTACACAATAACTAAAAATCTCATAGGAAACATTCCTGACCAATTGTATTCTCTTAGTGCCTTAACAATTGTTTATTTTATACAATTAAAGAATCAAAGTGCTGTCTAGCCCAACAAATAAGTTGAATTTCAACAGATCAAAGTATCTGAAATTTAGGAAAGTATTACAGTTTTAACTTTTCCTGACACTCTGTTATCACAGAGGAAAAGTGTGCAATAGAGAGAAGAGAAAGAATGTGGTTTCCAAATCAAGCCCCCAAAGACACCCATCCCCTCCAGAGCAAATGCCCAGCCAACAGGGTTGGCCCAAACCAGGACCAGTGAGGCCCAAAAGCTTGCCACAAGTCTAAGGCACCACCTGTGGGAACTCATAGAAAAGTGAAAGAAGGGGCTAGGCAAGTCTGGAAGGAAAAGGCAAAAATCAAAATCCAGATAGCAACTGCCATTGTTAACCTCCCCCCGTGTCTCTCACCCACGTGTGTTTCAAGTGTCTCCTTCCATGTTCCCCAAGTCCCTGGTACTAGTCCAAGGTCAAGAAGAAAGCACAGCTTCTTCACATGTCTCTGTTCCATGTGCCTCCTCCAGGTCTCTTCCTGATCTCCTTCCTTCCATCGCTCCATCTTTCTTCCAACTTCTCATCCCTGCCGAGCCCGAGCCTTCCTTAGGGTGGGGCAGGGAACCTGGAACCCCCCCTTTCCCTAAAGAAACCCTGTTATCAAAGGGAAAAATAGATATCCCTGATTGGCAGGTGGCTCTTCTCCATCCAGTGATTCAGCAATTAAGAGTCCCTCCATTTTTTTGACTCTATCATCTCTAATATGTTTGTTTCCAAATGTCCACACAAGAGAGAAAAGGAAATACAGGACTGCACATGGACGTTTTATGGGCACATGTAATGTTTGCCCATTTTTCATTAGTCAAAACTCAGGCACATACTTGACCACAAGAAAACCTGAGACATGTAATATAGTTGCAGACCCAGAACAAAGAGGAAACAGCATAACCAGGAAGTGTAGACCCAACACAGAAATCCAAGGGGAGTTCCTCAGTCTTGGCCCCTTCCCTTATCTTGGTCGGTTACTCCCTTCATAAGTAAGACACAAAATCTCATTGCATGACTCAGTAACACTTCACAAGAGAATTTTAGAAGCATCCATTTTCTAAATTTTCATATTGCTGCTCACCATGTAGACAATTACACCAGCCTTGGCCTCATAGGAAACTTTCATTAATCGTGAATGTTGTTGCACTTATCTTCTGGTGGTTGCTGCTTTCTAACAGGTGATCTAAAAATGAGTCAAAACAGAAGAAACATGGGAACAAAATGAATTTAGATTGAGTGAATTACGTGAATTCAGATTTAGGCCATTGCAACGTGGTTGTTGAACCAGTGATGGTGAGCAGTGAGACTATCAAAATAGCCCACATGCCCGGGCAGGCTCCTCTGTGCACTGAGTTAGCGGTAATATAAGTTACACCGCCAGAAGGTGTAAACAACAGGGAACTTGTCTCACAGACCAACAGTTCAAAACCCAGAGGGAGCCATCTTGCCTAACACAAAACACAGGCCTAAACATCCAAAACCTTATTCTGCATGAATTGACAGTGGCTTTCTACAGTGTTCCTTTGGGCATAAACCGCTGACCCTTCCACTGTAGACATTCCTGGAACCGCATGACTGGGTACATTGTGATAGTTCAACTTTAACAACAGAGTCTGCCACCTTCCACAAAAATCTATATCCCTGTCCTCCAGTGAGCTTTCCTCAGCTCAAGTGTCACTATATGGTCCAGAGATCTCTCTCCTAGACATTGACCTTTAGGGAATTTGCATATCAAAAGTGCTTCTCACAAATATCATCTCAGTTGGCACAACTGAGCAAGTGCTTATCATCAAGGCAGAGATAGCCCTTTCTAAGTTTTATTTCAACAAGATAGCTCCTGACAATTTCACTGGGTTTTGAGGGTGTGCAAACTAGTCTGGGGATCACCACCCAATCTGTAACTATCATGTTTATCTGAAAAACCCTAGGACTCTGTTGGCAAATTTCAAAGGGTGCCTCCCGCCCTGAACCAAAGCACTAGCTAGCGCCTGCTGTCTCATGGTGCCATTCGGGAAAGGCTTTCTCTGCTTCGTTGACCTTGTTTCTGTGTATTTTGATATCCAGAGCTCTATGCAGTCTCTTTCCCAAGGCTGCTGACTCACTGATGATTCTGCCTCTGACAGGCACCCTCAACCTAGTAACTGAGGAGTCTAACAAGTGGGTTATTTAAGGTGGGCAAAGTTCAGGGAACTCAGGAAAAGATGGTTCTGGGCACAGCACCTAACAACAGTGGTGACTTGACACCCTTAGGCCTGCAGGGACAAGAGGCCGTCAAACCCAGGGAGCTGCAAGGAGAGGACTTCTCAAGAGGCTTTTGGTGAAAAATTCAGCCACTGACAAACCAAAGCCTGACAGAGTGTGGGAGTTTAGCAATGAACACCCTGGCCCTCTCCTCTTTCTGTGCGCTATCCTCTGGCTGGTGCTACAAGTGGATAATCTAAAAGAAATTAAAAATCAAAGAGGTCAACTTCAGCTACACAGTTAGCTGCCACAAGCACACAGCAAGGTCATGAGGGCAGGACCAGAGGGGCAAAGGAGGAATACAAAACAGAAGCGCGCTCCCAACTGTCCTCTTACCAAGCCTGCCTACTCAGAGAATGGATGAGAAAGCTCTCTTATGGCCAAAGGAGATGGCATTTGGGTAGCACTTTCTAATAGTGACGATTTCCCAGGGGAAACCGTTACACTGTCCACCAGAGAACAATCAAAATGGTAGCATTTAGAACCTTTCAAGCAAATGTGATTAAATCCAAGTGTGAAAGGAAAAGTTTAAGGACGGCCATCTTCCTAATCTGATTCGGAGTCTTGTGATTGTCATGAAACTATGAAGTTGTGGTTACAAGCAACTTGCTTTTCACTAAATGAACTGTTCTCAAAGTATGGTCCACTGACCTGAAGCACCAGTATCACCTAGGAACTTGCTAGAAATGCAGAATCTTAGGCTCCTCCTAGACCTGCTGACTCCAACTCAGGGGTGTATGTATGTTATACATCAGTCTGTACGTTACAAGTCTTCCAGGTAATCATGACATGTGCTAAAATTTGAGAAGCCACTCTGCTAGATATTAGAAAATAAGAAATCTTATCGGGACTGTGATGTGTTCATTCCCAAAAATACATATTCCTTTCTTTCTTGGTTTGGTAAAAACTGGTGAAGTGCAGTAAATATTTTCTGCTTAAACGTATGTTGACCTATAAGAGTCCTCCTTTCAGATATTGCAGTCAGCAGGAGAGGAAGAGCTTACAATAAAAGGGGCTCATCCCTCAGCACACACGTATACCTTTCTCCAGAAGAGATCGCAAGCACAGGGTTTTTTCATATAATGGCTTCTGATCATAAAATGATGTTAATGATATCCACATCCGCACGGCTGATAGAAACTCTCCCTCTCCCCCAGCCCTAGCAGCAAGGTTGCCCAGGAGATTTTGCAGTGACCTCCTGACCTGAAGCAGTGTTGAGGGGGCTCTGGACTATGTTAGACTGAATAAAACCCACATCAAAATACCCCTGATCCTAGTGGTACAGGGACAGGAAACAGGTTGAGCTCTTCCTTCCTCTTATACTCATGGATTAAAACAGCTTAAGGGAAAAGGACTCAGGAAAATGCCTGACAGCTTAAGTGTATTTGCCACATCCATAGGTCACACACATGCACACACTTGGAATTTCATAATAATACTTACACTACTAATAATTACACTGTGTGCTCACTATATGACAGGAGGACTTTAGGTATTTCCATTCCTTGTAGAGCGAGGATGCTTTATAATAACTTTCTTTTCCAGAGTCTTCCCAAAGCACAAGCCAAGAAGGTAAAAGATGACACATATTGATGAATAACTACCTATTAGGAAGAGCAATAATTCTTTTCTGGCAAGTTGGCAGGGTAACCTTGTACGAATGGTTAAGTTGCACACTTGAAGTCTTGCAATCCCAATGCAGGCTAAAATCCAATGTACTTTCCACCCACTAATTCCTGAAGCCTGGTCCTGATTAGATCACCCAGAAGCAGGAGGGCCTCCTTCTGCTTCTCACAAATGTCCTGCTGGACAGAGATGCCGAAATTGGGGCACTTGTTTAGAAAGCCTGCGTGGCTCATCCCTGAACAACCTAGCAGCTCCCTTATCTCACGTAGCAAAGAGTTCTGCATGGGTGATGTCCCTGGGCAGTGTCTGTCCCCATCCTGCCGCGGCTGCAGCGGAGAAGTGGAGCATTTATGTCCCAGGCTCTTCCTGATTCCATGTCCTTTAAAGCTGGCAACTCTTTACAGTGACCACTCTTAGGAACAATAGTGATTATTCATCTCATCCCCTCCCCCACAACATACATGCACAAGCAAGTTTCATGGAGTCATCTTTCTGGAGTTTCTCACCTCAGTATTCTGCCACACAGTCATGCCTTGAAGCAAAAACAGACTCAGGTCAGGATGTCACCTCTAAGGATGGCGAGTGAAATGAGAGCATTATGTTGAGCTACAGCTGCAGGCAGTCGTATGCCTGAGAACCTTCTGCTCATTGAATGTTGGGAATTTTCTCCTCCCCTTTATTTTCAAATGGGAATGTTGCATAGGCTGGTTTTGTGCTTCTGATAGCATTACTGGTATAATGCAATGTTGTCACAGGGACACAGGGTAATATTTGACTATTTAAAGTGCTAGCTCCATTTCCATTAGACTAAATGTCCCTTAAAAATACAAATAATTGGGGCCTCCCAGGTGGCGCAGCGGTTGAGCCCTGGGTTGCAAGGCTGCCTGCAGCCTCTGCAGCTCGGGTTGGTTCCCCGGCCACGGGTGGGGGACCCACATGGCGCGCAGACCTCTCCTGCTGTGCCCGCTGCTCCCCTCAGCAGTGTATTTCGTCGTTCTACCTGTTCTGTTCCCCGCTCTGACTCTGTTGAATCCTCTCCCCCTCCCGCTCTTCTAACTGTACCCAGTGCTTGTATAAATAAATAAATAAAATCTTTTTTAAAAATACAAATAATTGTTTTTTTTTTTTTTTTTTACAGTGACGAATCAAATGGAACTCTCATAAAAGAGAGTTTAGTTCAACTGAGATGCCACTTTACATGGGAGTTGCAAATTCAAGACACTGAAATGACTGACTTAGAAAACAGGGTCTTTGATCAGATGGACTATCTAGACGTCCAGTGCGATGTGGAAATGCACAACCTACTGGCTTACATGAAACACCTCAAAGGCCAGCATGAGGAAGCCCTGACAAACTTGAAAGAAGCTGAAGACTTAATCCAGCAAGAATATGTCAATCATTCGTATGTGAGAAGTCTGGTTACTTGGGGCAACTATGCCTGGCTCTACTACCACATGGGCAGACAGGCAGAAGCCCAGGCTTACCTGGACAAGGTAGAGAACACTTGCAAGGAGCTTGCAAGTCCCTCCAGGTATACACTGGCGTGTCCTGAGATGTACTGTCAAGAAGGATGGGCTTTGCTAAAATGTGGAGGACTTCATTATGAACGGGCCAAGGCCTGTTTTGAGCAGGCTCTGAAAGTGGACCATGCAAACTCTGAATCCAGCACTGGGTATGCAATCACCATGTATCGCCTGGATAACATTAGAAAAACAGGACATACAAGTCTGCGCCACCTGAAACATGCCATCAGGCTAAACCCAGAAAATGTGTATCTTAAGGCTCTCCTTGCCCTGAAGCTTCAGGAGACAGGACAAGAAGCTGAAGGAGAAGTGTGCATTCAAGAAGCACTGACCAACATGTCCTCTCACGTCTACGTCCTTCGGTACGCAGCCAAGTTTTACCGAAGAAAAGGTGATGTGAATAAAGCTATTCAGCTCCTAAAAGAAGCCTTGAAAACAACACCCGATTCTTCCTTCCTGCACCACCAGATAGGACTTTGCTACAAGTCACAAATATTCCAAAACAACAACGCTACAACCTGGAGGCATAGAGGACAGCCTAGAGAAAATGTTGAAAAATTAACAAGATTAGTCATATATCATTTGGAATATGCTGTGAAAATAAAGCCTACTTTTGTGCTTGCTTATGTACACCTGGCAAATATGTATGCAGAAGCAGGTAGCCACAGCAAAGCTGAAGACATCTATCAGAAACTGTTAGGCATAAACTCATGCACAGAAGAAGAACGGCTAACGATACATTTCAACTATGGCAGATTTCAAGAACATCACAAAAAATCAGAAGTCGACGCACTTGTCCATTATTTAAAAGCAATAAAAGTAGGAAAGATATCATATATTTGGGATAAAAGTATCAGTTCTTTAAATAAATTGGCTTTAAAGAAACTCAGAAATAACAAATTAGACCTGGAAAGCTTGAGCATCCTTGGGTACAGCTACAAATTGCAAGGAGACTTGGACAAGGCCTTACAGTATTATGAGCAAGCCCTGGGTCTGGCTGCTGGCCTTGAGAACTCTGAGGGATATTGACCCCAGGCACTGAAATCTTAGGGACCACTTGCATACTTCACTTAATTTTAGGTTAACATGTACTAATCTTTTCTGCTCGTAGCTTTTAGAGATATGTTCCATGCACTGTAAAGTTGCAATATTTGAACAATTACTAAAACTTGATAAAATATTAGTTGTATTCAGAAAAAAAGTGAAACAGAATGTCTTTATATCTGTTTGTGAGCTATTTAGTAAAAAACAGTCTGTTGATTATATTTGTAGCAAATAAAACACTGGACTTACATAAAATAAAATGTATGATTCATTTATTTTATTGGCAAATGGTTTTCTTTCTTTTTTTTTTTTTTTTGAGGGACCCTCGCCGGTGGCCGGGGAACCGGCGCTGCAAAGGCTGCCGGCAGCCTCGCAGCCCAGCACTTAACCACTGGGCGGGCCACCAGGGGAGGCCCTCTTTCTTTTTTTAAAATATTTATTTTATTTATTTATTTATTTATGCATACAAGAACTGGGGTACAGGCCAGAGTTGTGGGAGCACTGAGAGGATTCACCAGAGAAAGAGTGGGGAACAGAACAGGCAGACTGACTGAAATACACTGCTGAGGGGAGCCACTGCCAAGACAGGAAAGGTCTGCTGCGCCGTGTGGATCAGTTTCCTGGCCAGGGAATGGAACTCATTCTGCAGTGGCTGCGGATAGCTTCATAGTGCTGAGACTTCACCCCTTATGCCACCAGGGAGGCCCTTGGCAAATGGTCTTCAGTGCTAGACACCCAAGGTACTATGGTAATGTAGGAAAGGAAAAAATAATTTACCCATTTTAGGTTTATTGGCTGGCATACCATAAATTAAAACTGAGAAAAAACATTAACAGAGAAAAACAAACAGTATATTAAGACTTGCTTCAAGCATACACTCATTACCCAGTAATGAGTAACTCAAAGGGAGGGTTAGAACATGGACTGATGTAGCATATTAACAAATAAATTTTTAGAGAGTGATAAGACAAGGAAAAGAACTTTGAATTTCTAGGGTGCTAAATTGTGGGAAGGTGAAAATAGGGGGAAACTAATGAAAGCTACTTAGTAACATTTATCATATAGATTCCTTAGGTTTTGGCTCTGAACTAATATGGATTATATCAGGCAATTAATTATATTTATTGAAGTAACATTATATGAGTTTCAGGTCTGCATCATTAATAATTAAGTGGTAACATTAATGTGATCTGTATTTAGGCAATTAACTTCTTTCCTTCCTGGTAGACAGGGGAGGGTAGACACCTGTTTGAATATCTGTCCTACTTGGAGACAGATAAGGAGAGGCCAGAGAGTTTTTCACAGATCTTTTTTTTCAATCGCCTTCAGCTCAAAATAATCTTTATGCCAAGGTAGCATATTCTGCTACCGCAATAGCAGAATTTTCATCAAACTTCATGCACCTTGCAATCTATCAGAGAGACAGTAAAACAAGTCCACATTCAATGAAAGGTCAGTTTGAAGCTGAGGATGTTTGAAGGTTAATCCATTATCAAGTTGTTCCAAGCAGCTTCTCTTATTTTATGCCACTGTGTTTGAAGAATTATTTATTCATTCATTTGCTGGTATTGACCCAGTTAGATCAAGAAATATGAAACAGATGCTATATGATCTGAGAAAGCATCTTTGCTCACCTCTGATTATGACATTTTATTAAAAGGCAATGCAAAAAATAATATTTTTTAAATGAAAAAAGCAAACAATGCCATTGCTTTACATTTATGTTTGGGGGAGGGATTTATAAATGTATTATTATGGTTGTAACAAATTTTCACAAACTTGGTGGCTTAAAATCACACAAATTCATTATCTTGCAGTTCTAGAGGTCTGCTATCTGAAATCAAGGTTGGGTATAGCTATACTCCCTCCATAGACTCTAGGGAATAATCCTCTTTTGTACATTTTCCTGCTTCTAGATGCTGACTGTATTTCTTGGTCAGGATCCTTAACCCATGACAGTACAAGTCCCCAAATGATTCATAGAACTATTGAACAGGACTTTTCATTTCTACTGAAATTCTATAGGAATCAAAGTGAACAGAATTTATATCATGAAAGGGTAAGCATCAGGTTTACATAGAAGCAATCTTCCCAAATTCCTTACCACTAAAGCAGGAGAGTCATCAGATTTAGCAAAACAATAGCTTCAAGTGCTTGTATTTGGAAAAGGAGGCTGTGTGTTGCTAAAATATGTCAAATCACTGCAAACTTTCCCAAAGTCAGAAACATTCAAAGTAAACCACTTTTGGATAGCTGATTGATTCTCTATTATGCAATTCTTCCCAACTATTGCTATTAATAATTTGTACCCAGAAAACAGAGCTGGTTAACGTATAATAAATCACTGGTTATGTAATGCATTTGCGTGAGGTGTGATTGACAATCCACAGAGATCACGGTTACTTGGTGTGTCTTTTAACCCAGTACTGCCTCTCTGACCAACCAACAGCTCCCACCACTAACTATGATAGTAGATGCTCCAGCCCAGGTCTTTGCTAGTTGTGGTATACACAATCTAGCTCCTTGCAGATCCCTGTGGCCACCTGTGTCTCCATTCTCATGGTCTGCTAAACCTGGAACTGCATTGGGACAAAGGGCTTCTACCTAGAGTCTGCCCCACCTTGGATTATCCACCCTGAGCCTGTGTCCACAGAGCTGTGTCTTGTCCCCAGCCAGAACAAAAGCAATAAGCCACCTCCCCTTTGGATTCCATGCTACCTGGCTTGGCCAACATCAATAAGTCCTCTGGACTCTGGACTCAACAACAAACTCTATGGACTCCATCTCTCCTCCAGTATGACACAGCACATTGGTGCTGCCTCTACATCCAAACACGTAGCTGCCAACAAGCCATGCTAATCTGCCAAACAACTCTTCATTTGCCCTTTCTTCCTCTCGCCTATACAATACAAAGGGGTGACATGTGGGTTTCTATGGACTGGCTACTAGCTGGCCACTCATGGGCAACTGTGATGTATTTGCTTTCTGCAAATCACAGCGGAGCATTCCTTGACTACCTACGGAGTATAGCCTATATTATGATGCAGGCCCGGGGACACCTAGGCCGCTGTTGTCCTAATTACATGACTATTTCCCTGGTGGTCTCGGATAACTCTGCCTGTGATAACATCATACCTTGCTGACACAAATGGCTCTTGACATATGGTCAAAATGTTCCCTTCCCTGTCCCTCGTAAAACGTTGTAACCCCCCCCCCCCCATTCCTATTCCACCCTCCGGACCTTATTCCTCATACCATTATCACATGATCAGCTTTTACTAGCCTGTGTGCTTTCAATCAATGGCACAAGAGCTTCTGTTCAAGTAGCAGAGTCTTGCCTTGCAAACCTGCTCCATGACTGTAGTGTCCCTCATCGTGTTCCTGTGACAACAAGGTTCCTGTCACAACAAAGTGGCGCCCAAACAGGGACTTCATCAGTGACCCACTGGCCCAAACTGACCAGGGATGGATTGACCAGGGATCTTGAGGGATTGACCATTTCTCAACCTAGTGAAGGGCAGGACGTCTGCTTCAGCTGCATTATAGCCCCATGGGCCTTTGAGTCTACAACAGAACAGCATTTATGACTTTCTTTCATTCTTTCACACAGCAGTTGTGCTATCTTTTCTTCCTTACTCTCCTATTTTCTTTACAAAAAGTAGGGTGGGAAGGCCAAATGCCGTTTGTTTTAAGTAGGCCAGAAAGGCTCACCTGGCAAATGTTTTTTTCTTTTGTTTAACATCACCTATATCTCAGAGCCAATTAAGAGGCCAATAAAAAAGGGCACCGGTCAGCCAATTAAACATTAGGTGGCTGCCATTAGACTTCCATGACAAGATGCAAAGATCTGGCACCAAAAAAAAACCACCCCAGCTTCAGATCCCCTCTCAGATATCTAAGTGGCTCGTCTTGTCTCTTTTTTGTCTTTCCTTATCTTGGAGACAAGTTTAACTTTTGCAAAATGGGGAATACACCAATGTATGGGGAAAAACAACTTAAAAAACCATTGCAGCTCCCTATGTTTATAGCAGCACTATTTACAATAGCTTAGCTATGGAAACAACCCAAATGCCCCAAAATAGATGACTGGATCAAGAAGATGTGGTACATATATACCATGGAATATTACTCAGCAATCAAAAAAGATAAACACATGCAATTTGCAGCAACATGGATGGAGCTAGAAGGGATCATGCTCAGCGAAATAAGTCAGAAAGAAAAAGAAAAATACTGGATGGTCTCACTCATAGCAGGAATTTAGAAAACCTAAATAAGGGACCAGTAAAAATACTAATTAATACAAAGTAAAAGTCAAAATCAACAAGCAACTATAAACCAGAGACACACTACGGCGGGGGGGTCGGGGGGAAAAGAATGACTAGGGTCAAAATAAGGGGGGGGGGCAATTGTATGGGGAATAAAACCAAAATGAAAATGCATACATTGTGCAAAAATGAAAAATGATGTAAGAATTATATAAAATAAAATATTAAAAAAAAAACAATTGCAGGAACTCTTAAAAGTGGCCGGCTACACAGTAACAAGGCAACAGTTTAAAAATCTCTTGATAACCATCAGAAAGAGATGCCCCCAGTATTCTTATAAAGAAACCTTAAATTTAAATAATTGGGGAAAAGTAGGGCAATGAGTAAGGCCATCAGCTAGCAGGTAAAAACACCTCACCTTTCCATATGGAATCTCTGTGGATTAGCACTAAGACCCATTCAAGGGGATAAAAAGATATTACATCCAAGTGGCCCAGGGGCTCCTGCCCTAACTTGCCCCCCCCCCCCCACCCCGCCCCACTGCACTGCCACCATAGTTTGGGTACAGTTGAGATCCAAAAGGACTACTGCCTGCAACAGATTTTGAGCCACTCATAAAAAAATGTTTTCATAAAATACTAATGGAGGGAAAAATGCACCAACCTTTTCCAGTTATTTGAGGAGGAGTCCAGGGACCCTGACACAAGAGTTTGCCATTTGTTGTTTCTTAGTAATTAAAAAAAAAAAAAAACCCGTATTTCTAAAAATGGTATTCAAAGTTCATTTACCAAAAAAATTGTTAAAGTTATTTTAAAAATAGGTAAAAAATAACTGCATGGGGCTGGAAGGTTCTCATCAAAACAGTACCAACTTACTGTAGCTGGCAGTGGAGGGCTAACTGGCCTCAGCAAGCAGCTGTCTGAAACTTTGCTCCAGTGTTAAGATCATTGGCATGTCTCTACTTCCAGCTGTGG